TAGTTGGCACTTTCAAAAAAATAAAAATAAAATCAAATACAAATATCTGTGCGCGCCTAGGCTTTTCCCATCGCCTTCGATCGGTCTGCCGCAATAGGTGAGAATTTATGTAGATTTTTTCGCTGCCACCTGGGCTATTTGTCAAGTAGTTAAGTCTTTAGTCCATGAGGGATTGACAGGCGGGCTAACTATCTGGCCGGCTAGCCTCCGTTTCAATTTGGCTTCCACCTTGCCTTGGCTGCAAAACCAAAACCAAAGCTCAGACTCAAGCCGAGACTCTATGATATTGTGTGAATATTTTATGTCTGTGACGTGGCTGCCACGTAAACAAGCCGCTTAGTTTAGCAGTTTCTGCAATTGCGGCCACCTTTTTCCAGGTGCTGGCAAATATTTGAAATATTTTGGCTAAGTACAGGCAAATTGCCAATACGGGGAGCTCACATTCGCAAACTTAAATATAAAATACGATCGGTACGGGCAAAGTAAAATAAATGATTTATGGCAGGATAATTCACAAGATAAGTCAACGCGTTTGCAAACTGGATAATAAGATGGTTCAGTCTATTCATTAATCATATTATTTTCTTACATTTTTCATTAGGAATTTCTTAAAGGATTTTCTATGGGCAGAGCAATTTTGACCTAATTTCCTTTAGAGCTGTGAAATGTTCATTGTTTTTACTGTTCCTTTTACATAAACCCCACTTAACTTGATCTGTTAGAGTAAAACCCATTTAAAATTGAAAAAACTGGGCCATTAAAATATTTAAAGACTTTAACCTACTTTTAACGGGGCGTTAAATACCTGAACGAAAAAGAAAAAAAAAAAAGTAATAGAAAATAGAAAAGTAGAAGGAGAAAAAACCGAAAACTTATCTTAGAACACAATGAGCTACTGACGAGCTGAACAGTTATGATTGTTTGCACAAGGCACATACTAAGTGGACTCCCGGCGGAAACTGGCTTGGCAAAAGGTGCCAAAACCCAAGTACTGCCAACTGCCAACTACCAACTGCAATGAGGAAGGTCAGTGTGCGGTTAATTACCGAACCAAACTGAGTCCGAACCCAAAACGAATGGCGACGCGAAACACCCGCTATCTATCATTGAACTTGCTAAAGATTTTGGTATAAATAAAAAAATATCATTATATTTTCTAATGATTTTGATTTTTTAATATTGTTACCCTGAAAGAGAAGGAGGTATTTTGTTTAACAACTAATCCGATATTTTAACATTTTAATAATTTTTTCTACAGAGGTATCCATTTTCATATTCCATTAATTTTCTCATAATTATCGGTTTTTAACACTTTCTAAGTTTAATAAATTTATTTTAGTTCAATTCATTTCCTTCACACAAACCTTAGCATATAAGTTGATTAAAATAACCTTTATGTCATGAACTAAAATTCATTAAAAGTCCTAAAAATTCGAAATAATAAATAAGTCATATTTTAAAAACCGAAAATTACAAATTCCCATTTCTTTAAGTGCTTACTGATTCTTTACTGATTCTAAGCTCGAGTCGAAGTTGAAGGCGACGTCGAAGTTAAAGTTAATGTCGAGGTGGGAGCAACAGTTAGCATTCCGTCAGTGCAAGTGGCACAGCAACAGATGGCCAAGTGTCTGGGCTAACTGTTTACCGGCGTTTTTACGATGGCCAAGTACTGTTGATGAGGGGGTGTTTGGGGGACGATCGGGGAGGAGATGCGAGAGGGCGTGGCCAAACATTGACAAATCATCTTGACACCTTCAGACTGTCATAAAAATGGGTTACGGACATGATTTGCAATGCAATAAACTTAATTGAGTGCGCGTCAGATTTTAATTTTAACCCGTACCCCCGAATCGAAACCGGTTGGCCCCTCTATCGCAATCATCGGAATTCCCACCCATCGGATCGGATCGGATCGTATATAGAATGCACAAAAAACGGCTACAGCCGTATCTCGGAATAAGCCAAAAAGAACGAGCTGGTTCTAAGGCGCGAAGTCGTAAAGCGTTTTTGATGCCGTCATGGTTCCCTTTCGATACCCGCTTTAACGATGCCATTAAAATCTCCGACATTGTTGTCGATATATAGAAGACAGATTCGTTTTTTGGGATTTAGTTATTGCATTATAAAAAATCGTGTTAAGATTTCGTCGCCGTTTAAATGGCGCCAAATTGTTAATAAGCGTCGCATATTTCTTTTGGTCATCATTAACGTGGTATTTGTGACTTTAGTGGTTTGCTATAAATATCATTATAATGGCCATAAATCGAAATTGATTTTATGATCCGAGTGTTTACGTTTTTGGCAAATATATCGGTTTGTGTCATCTGGAACAAAGGGGGCGTTTTGTCAAAGACCTTTCACAACAATTTATAAATAAGCAGATTTTTTTTTAAATAAATATAAGCTTCAAACATATTAGTAATAACATAAGAGGGGCTATATCATCCTTAATACCCTCGGTAATATCATAATTTTTCACCTCCCCCCGTTATCTTGTAAATCAGCAACAAATTAATTTCCACCGCAGATGCAACTTTTCCTTTATGCAAATTTATTTAATTTGCAACAATTAAATTAAGATGCAAACTAATCCCGCGTAATTGCCGCCTGTCGTCAGAGTTGGCTTAATCTCCGCTTAAGCTGCACTTGAAAAATGGTTAAAAAATCAACATGAATATGAATGTCTCTAAATGTGGGGAAGGGTATAGAGCCGGCAAGACTGCGCTGGCATTTCCGTCACTTAAGCCACGGCTTAAAATGTTTCTTCATTAGAATAAGTGTCATAAAAATAAACGCATAAAAACATCTCTCCGATACCCGGCCATAAGCGGATCTAATCATTTTCCCATAAACAGCCGGCGATGCTCAACTAAAATCTGCTTAAATTTCACCTGACACGCTAATTTGGCTAATAAACATTCGACAACAAAAAGCTGAACCGAGAAAAAAATGTAACCACAAAATTCAAATGAAATTTCGAAGGCGCCAAGCCGAAAATCAACACAAAAAATGTATACACAAGAAAGTAATAAAATTATATACAATGCATAGAAATATACATATAGACCGACATTCCTAACCGACTTTGTTCATGTTGTTCTTGCACTTGGGTTTGGGTAATAAATTTAACTCAAAACCAGTGAGCTATCGACCGTTGAGTTATTTTGACGCCAAACCGAGATGTATTCTAATGCAAATTTCGAATTTTATTTGTTTGGGTTTTTGATATTTCCCACTTCCTTCCCCGCCAACCAAAATAAACCTGCTCGTCCACCCGGGAAAGGTGTAACTTTTAAGTGCCGGACAAAGCGTTAAACTTATGCGATGGGTGAGACAAGTCACTTTTTAAAGGTTTCTAAAAAAAAGTATGGAAAAACGTGTTGCGTGAATAATAAGTCACGAAAAAGTTCCGTGATAAGTGTACAAAAGGGAATTGTTTTTATATTTTGAAAACTCCTAGTGATAAATATAACAAATTGATAATGAAGTTAAAATTGCATTTTTTTTATTTTGCTTTTAGTTCTTTAAGTTAAATTTAATTAAATTAAATTGAAATTAAAATAGTACATAAACTGTAAAACTTATAACATAAGTACATATTCAAGATATTTTGACTCTTTATAAAGCTTCCCAGACAAATTCTCTTTAAACATACAAATTCCTCTTGCACTTTATAGCAGATAAATGTATTCTGATTGTTTCAGATTAAATTTAATAAATGTAAATAAAAAGTATAAATGGAAGATTCTCAATACAGACGTTACAGACCACTGCCCTTGGATCAAAACCCCATATAGCCAATGACAAATTCCCCGCTAATAAACCAAAGATTCTATCATCCATTCTACACATAAAACCAAGCCGTGAGAGCATCTCGATAGCCTCGTAGTCAGATCGCGGGCGCCTTACAAAAGTGGCAAGTGCTTCGCGTATTTAAATTTATTGCTTAACAAATTTATTTTTTGTTAAACAAATTTATAAATTATTGCTGCGAGAGTATAATAAAATTTCATTAGCGGCATTTGCCGACTCCAAATATGTGAATATCGGTCTAAGGCGTTGGCGTGGCGCGTTTCGTTTCGAGCTTTTTTTCATTTTTCGTCTTTTTTTCTTAATTTTTCGCTTAGGGGCGCGATCACAGACACGCGGCGCCAGTTGGCCAAGAGAGATCTTTGTTTGGGCCAGAGCTGTCGCAGTGGACGGAGATTGGCTAGCTGGACACTTCAAGCGCAGGTTGCTGATAAATCCGATCTGTGAGGCCTGAAAAGCTGGCCGAATTTGCATGTGTCGCTACGACACAGAAAACGCTGGTTAATTAATTTCAGACACGCCATACATCTCGGGTACTTTGCATAAATTAATATGAAATCTTTATTTATGATTTATGCGGTGTCAACATGGCCCGAACATCTATCAAATAGTTTCCACCGATCGCTGGAGATCACAGCACAAAAGAAGATGTGATGGAAATATTCGAAAATCGCCCACGCGTTTTGCACGCGACTTTGTGGCGACTTTGGCCGCCAGATAATTTATTGTTATCCGAACAGATTGAGGTCAGGCAGTCAGGAGATTTACACATTGTCACATTGTTGTAGATTCTTATCAATTGTTACACGATTTTCAAATTATACTTTGATATTTCTCAGTCGATTTTTTTACGATTTGCTGGAATGCGCATTTTGAATAGTCAAATTGGGTGATCACAAATATGTTGCCATAGATGTTTCCGGATTGCGAGATGATCTTGGGGGAAATATTTCCACAGACATCAGATGAGTTTTGGTTGAAGGGGAGAATCGTAAATCACGTCTTAAGGAAAATAGCTTGTGAATTCAGTAATGAAATGATATTTATGGTAATTATTTCTGATACCTAAAATCAGTTACCTTAAATCCCATATTATAGGTATTTCCAATGTTTTAGGTTCTTAATATTAAAATTACTTTACACAAACGAATGGTGAATGAGTTTGGCATCTTATCCCTTGAGTTTACGATTTAAGGAATGGCTGAAAAAAATCCCAAAAGGACCCCCACTATTTTCCAAATAAATACCGCATGTTTGTATTGTACTATATGTGTTTCATATTTATTATTTTGAATTCGTATCGTTTCATCGTCATTCGCAAATTGCTCATTGTAATTACTATTATGGTTATTATTTGTCAGCAGCCCATTATCATTATGATTCTGATTATCGTTAACAACATTAATATTCTCGTTAGGGTTATCAATATTAGGTTGTTGCTGGTGCTGTAGCTGTTGCTGTTGCTGCTGCTCGTGTTGCTGTTGCAGCTTTTGAAGGCCACGAAGAAGTTTCTTTAGAATCAGCCCTTCGTGCTTCTCGTCGTTCGAATAGCTATCGTCGATTATATTATTAGCATCAATATGATTGCGATTCTGCACAACAGTTTCGGTTGAAACTGTCTCTGTCTCACCTTCCTCGGTCTTCTTCCTTGATTTTCGGTTGAAACAAGGTCAATTCGATCGTTTAATTGCTTAAGATTATTGTCAATATTCTGATTGAACGCGCTGTGGCTATGGCTAGGGCTATGGCTATTTGGACTATCGAACTTAGTGCTATCGTCTAAACTACTAGAATCAGTCGTGCTACTTTTAGTATTCAAATTATAATGCTCGTTACTGTACAAGTAGTTGTAGTTTTTTGGCAAGGCAGGTATTGCAAGATTAACATTAGCGCTATTACTATCAATTAGTTGGTTTACGTTTAGGTTTACATTTAAGTTTAAGTTTAAGTTACTATTAACATAGGGTTTTGAGTATTCGTTTTGTGGGTGGCGGTCATCCTGCTCATCCTGCTGCTGCAATCGCTGCGAGGGTAGCTCCACCAGTTGCATATCAGCATCCTTGTTGCCCCTTGTGGCACCACCACCTGTTGCACCCGCACCACTTGTGGCTCCACCTGTCGAGCGTTTTCGCCTGTCCCGCTTGCGACGACTGGCGGCCATTATGGCCACCAGATTGAAGGCGCTGGGTGCCAACGAGGCGGCCGTGGCGGTCAGGGCCGTCGAGGTGGCCGTCGACGAGGAGGAGGAGGAGGACGAGGCCGAGGAGGTGGCCTTGGGCAGGTGCTCCACCCGCTCGCGTTCCCGCTCCCTGTCGCCCGCCTCCCGCTGCTCCTGCTCCCACAACTCCCGCTGCAACTTGTGCTGCTGCCGCTCCAAGCGGCGACGTCGGCGTCGCTCCATTATGGTGGCATTATTGTGATGATGACGGACCACAAGGTTTTTGGGCTGCGGTTGGGCCATCACGCCCACTGTGCCGTATTGCCGATGGCGACGGCGATGTTGCTGCTGCTGCTTCCTGCGCTCCAATCGCTGGCGGCGATGTTTCTGGCGATTCCTTTGCAGAATCACCTGTTGTTGCTGCAGGTCCAGCTCATTATTGTTGTTGTTGTTGCTATTGGCTTGGTTGTGGCTCTTAAGGCTATTACTCTTGCTGTTGCTGATCTTTTCGGGGTTATTGCTGTTGCTACTATCGCTATTAATACTTGTTGGGCGACGCGTCTTTGAACGCGTACGTTTTGTGACCGCCACTGGGCTTGCTGTTGTTGTTGTCGTTGTTGTGGAGCTGATTTTGGTAGTACTGGGTGGTGTTGTTGTTGTTGTGGTTGATGTAGTTGTTGTTGTTGTTGTTGTGGTAGTGGTAGTGCTTTTCAAAACTTCAGCCAAATGTGAGTTGAATTTCTCCTCACTCACAGGAAAGAAATATAGAATGGCCTTCTTCATCACTTTTGGCTTGGAAAAATCATTCAGGCCCATTGGCTTAAAGTTTCCCTTGAAACCCACTCGCAGCACTGGATTGTAAGCACTAGTAAAGTGCTGATTGCCCATAAAAATCCCCTCTTTAAAGTGACAGTCCTTTGTGGCGTTTCTCTAAAATATTACAAAAAAAAAGAAGGGAAGAAGGAACTTAGTAAAAATGCAATTGTATTTATTTTTAAAGGGCGATCTTAAGAAATCTGATAAACGGTATTTGCATAAGACAGCAAATATGCATTTTTTATTGGGATTTTAAAAATATGATTTAAAAAAAATCTAAAATCTATTAAGAAGCTATTTTCATAATTATCAATTTGTTGTTAAACTTCTAGCAACTATTAAGGGAAAATTACATCTATAAAAAAACTCACCTTTCCAACCAGTCTGCCTTGATGGAAGCACAGATAGTAGTCTACATCCGCCGAATAGATGGTGATTTTGAAGTCCAGGCTGAACACATCGTTGACAGCTTCCATTGTGAAGTATTCTGTAAAATAAAGGAGACATGGCAAAATCCAAAATTTAATTAATTATTGGCAAACAAACAAACGACGGCTATTGTGTAAATATTTAATGGAACTGGAACTCAAACTGGAGCCACTTGAAGCGCGTTCAGATAACCCAATTAATTGAAAAAGGTTTTTGATAAAGTTATGAAGGGGCTTTTGATTAGAACCGAGAAACTATGCGCCTTTTCAGTGGAACCCATTTGATGGAATCAGTAAATTACTGGCGCTGAGTCGTTGAACTCTCGCTTTCTTGGCGAAAGGGTTTAACCCTGAAATACTCCTAAGCCCAATAGCTTCCGATCGATTTGGCTGGGGTTACACCCCTTTTGGATTTGGGTCTTTGGGGAAAGACCTTCGAAGAGGCAGCAAATCGATCAAATTGCCGCAGAGGCACCTGCGTGCCGATAAGATAAAATGCCAAGCTGACAATTTTGTTTCCGTTTCCAATGGATTGTGCTTTAATTTACGCATAAAGGCGGTTGATCGGTAAAAGTCCCTTCCGACTTATCAGTGACGCAAGGCGGCGCCTGATCTTGTCACTTTCGCTTAGCCATCAACCCACAATGGAACGAGGGCTGCTCCTGAACTTCAGAGCTCCAGAGGCTCGCAAACCGCAGCAAATGAATTCCGAATAAATTAAGAGCGGCCGGACAAACAAAACAAAACGAAACCGCAATGGGCGCCGTTCGGCGCGGTTCATAACATCAATCAAATATTAAATTACCAATAATTTAATTAAGCACACAATATGCACAGCCACAGACGAAGACCCAGGCCCAGACAGAGTTCAAAAAGGGGGTACAGGCGAAATTGGCTAGCCTCGATAAAATTAAATTATAACGCAAGAAAAACCCTTAAATTATTATTAAATATTTTATTGATATTTATTTCTGTTCCTTTTAAGGCGGTCCCTCTTTATCTGCGGACATACGCATCCATAGAAGTACTTTTATAAATGCCAATTTAATTTAAATGCCAATGGTAATTGATGAACGCGAGTTGCATGAGTAAGAGCTGTCTCAGTTCGCTTCCAGATCTTTGTCTTTATATTTTCTTGGTGATATATAATACTATAAGGGGTACTTACGATATGTCCGCAATATGTTCTCGGCGGTCACTTTGCCGTGCGAATTGATGTGCAGCGCAAGTTCGCTGTGTTTGCTCAGTGTTAAAACATTTTTCGCGGCGCATGCTGGCCTCGGAAAAGCAGCCGCAACAATCTGGAAAAAGAGGGGAAGAGAACGAGAACCTCGATTAATGGTCGATTCATCTGCATTACGGCCACATCTGGCGACTAATCCTGCCCCCAACGCAACCCTTTTTGCCCCATAAATTTCCATTAATACGATGAGCTTTTTATTACACCGCCCCGCACATGCGACACGAAATTTTTATGGTCAAAGTTGAGCCCACTGGCCAACTGGCCATTAGGCGTGTTATGGTAGTCCAGGTAATTGGTTTCTCAATGGGATATGTTGTCCTAAGCCTTGACATTCTGCGGATAGTGGGATAACAGCGATGGGCAGCCGGTTCCCATGCATTTAAATTGGAAGAGCAAGTCGGCGGTAAATGTCCTATTACGAAATTTAATTGCTTGGGAATAGCAGGAATGATTCTGTAGCTTGGATTTCCTTCTTTAATTTTATAACTTTCATTTTGTATGGATTCCAATGCATGTCACCTGACAGAAATCTAGTTCCCCCAAATATATTTCACCACCTGACACGTTTTCGTCTCATGTCCACCATCATTGGCACGTTTTCGACCTTTGAGCAATTAAATTTCGAATGATATCACAATTATTCTCTGATAAAGAAAATATGCAAATCAGCAAAACAAGCGAATGGGCCAGACATATGACATCTATGGGCGTGGCGAGTGCAAATCGAGTATTTATCGAGGATTAGATCGAACCTTTCTCATACATCATGAAGTGTACATGAGGCCTATTCACCACACGGCACCACAGACGACCAGTAAGCATTATTAGCTATTTATGGGGGAATGGCCAAAAATAACGCTGGACTTTAGCAGGGGGCTTAATAGGGCTTTCGGCTGGGTAAGCGATGGGTTTGTATCCGCAAGCCAAAACAAATTGACCTAAGCACGCAGATCGACGCGTGCCGATCGATTTATCGGGGCTTAACCCATCGATGCGAGTTTCCCAAGTAGTGTTTACATTCTTCATATTTTCCAAGTTCGAGTTGACGTTGACACAATGTCAGTTTTCCAGAAAGATGGATGAGAGGAATGTAGGGCCTTCTGTTTGCACTTCTCAAAAAAAAAAAAAATAGAGAATGCCGTGCGACCTTTTCCATAGTTCAATGACGCTCCCCAGCGTGTATGTGTAACAATCATAATCATAATAATAATTATTATTATTTTTTATGGGCCGCCTCAAGTGGAGAGACCCCACAAAACCGAGAGCCACTCCAATGTACACACGCTTCCCATATCAAAACTCCGAATTGCTTCGCCCCCCACTCCGATTTCGATTACACACACTCAATCTCTCGAACGTATAAAAATATTTTGACATTTCTCAAGATAATTATTCAGAGTGTGTTGAAAGCAAGGCAGCTTTCGATTGAGATCGAAGATATCCAGATGCTTTTTGCCCGGCCAAAAGCCGAAATTGGAACAAGGCTTCGGCCTAAGTATTCTTGGGAAATACTAATTGATGCTAGTTCGATGGAATCCCCTACGAAAATTATTCATAACCCATAAATTCGCTAAAGCTTTACAACTACGTAGGTCGTTAAAATGCAAATCGTCTCTTAGCATAAGCACCCAGTAGTCACAGTGGGACAAAAACTCACCATCAGTGTAAAAATCAAAGTCCTGACATTGGGCAGCGTGAACTGTGATAACCTGCAAGTAGGCGAAAAATAAACGAAATAAGTATTCAGTATTTAATATTCAATAGTATTAACAACAAAATTACGCTAGCCACTATAAATAAAGAGTTGAGTGTGATTCAAAGGAGAAACATTTGCATAAATCTTACAGATTATTATTAATGATTATTATTGGTTTTATTGATTTGTTTTCAACTATATTCGTTTTGTTTTTTTCTGTTCCCCCAGACAAACTTCCGTCTTAAACAACAATTAAGTCATTTTACGGCCGATCGTGAGATCTCTAAAAGTGTATTTAAATAAAAAATTCGACACGTATCCATCGGATTTCCATGGAGAGCCCTTCCAGTGCCTCTGGCTCAATGTCACCCCATCACAAGTGACCACAAGTGGCCACTCGGAAAACGCCAGAGAAAAATGTGCTTTATTTTTTCCTTTTATTTTATCGATTCAGCCGAACAAGTCTTGCCATATTTTGTTGTACTTTCCGCACTGCATATTCTGTTTCACGACCAACTAATCCCCGGGCCCAAAAGGTCATTGATTTCAGCTTAGCACTGAACTGAACTGAACTACAAAAGCAAAGAGCAGCGCACAAGAACAGAACTCAAGACCCAGAAGGGTAGTTTCTTGAGACGAAGGTCTCGCTGTTCTGCGCTTGAAAAGTGAAAACGCAAAGAATCAAGCTCGAGAAATCAATATGCAGCGACCGAGAGTCAAAAGTTAAAACAGCCCCAGGAGGAGGCGAATTGGCAGAGCCTTTAGTCTCGAATCCGAATCCCTAACCCTCTCAGTGGGCAGTCCCGAAAAAGAAATAAAGAAAGAGCTCTACCAAATCAAATGCCTGGTGGCGTGCGATTTTTATCATTTTTCAATTTCACAGCAGACAATAACGTCCATTTAAAATGTGCAAACACACACGGGCATTCTAAACGAAATTTCACAATTCCCGCCGAAGGAACAACATTTTTTCAAACGTTTTTGTTTTCTTATTTTTAATTTTGCTTGGCAAGCAATTAAATCGACTTGAAGCTTTTTCAATTTATGCTAGCTGGCTTTCTGGGTAAATTATGGCTGCGATTTTCCAGCGAATGGTGAATCTACTGCTGACAGATCAATAGCAGTAGCTTACGAAATTTCAGTTAACTTAGGAAAGAAAAGCCTTTTTTGTGGGCTGGCAACCGCACAAAAAAAAGACAAAAAATAAAATTGAAACCGAAACTTTCAAAGTTGAGGAGTTCTCTAAGACCAGACAAAGGGCCCAAAGGTTATACACCCAGAAAAATATCAGACAAAAATCTCTACCTTATTACGATAACAATAATGTAATATTAGTTTTGGGTATAAAAAATGTATTTCCAAAAATATTTTTTTAGTTTATGTTTTCTTATTTAAATTTTTTTTAATAATTTCAGAAAAAGGATTGTAATGAAAACGAAATCCCCCCGATTTAGATAATTCTTTTTCACTGTGCACGAGCGGTTCCCATGTATGTAACTCGATATCGCTTCTATGGCCAGTCGCCTCTGTCTGTGCTTTACTTTTGTTCGCTTCTGCGACTCATAATTACCTTATTTGGTATGCAGACAGGAGCTCAGAACGGAGCCAGAAGGGTCTCTGCTGGGTCCCCAGTTTCCTTGGCCCGGCTTACGCAATATCGCAGGGCCCTACGATACCTCAGATGTGCCCTGAATACCGAATAGTTTTGTATTGAGAAGTTTTCCTTTCGAGCTACGTGCTCACATTTTTCTTGGACTGGGACCGGACCACCCGAACGGGGAAGCTTTTATTCACAAAGTCTGGGAGAAACAGTGGAACCTCCTTTCGAAATACCATCTACGTCACAGCGACCACATTTGAAATGTGCAATCTAATCGCTGGCGACATTTTCAGGCCTTTAATTAGTTTGTCCACTCGATTGTGCTGGCTTTCGGCCAACTACATATAAATCTGGAAATTAAAATTAAAATTAAACTCCAAGTGTTTTGCCCCGATCGCATCGATCGATAATATGCTAAGCACCAGGTCTTTTCAATTCCATTCGATTGGAATCGAATGCAAACTAGTTTGGGCCTCGAATCTCCGACTGTCCGACTCTCGAGAACGGGGCACGTGTTGGCATCTGGACTTTAACACTTGTTGCTTCCAACTCACAATAAATGGGTATATAGCCGCATAATTGTACCCCGTACTTCGTGTATATAAATGTGTATTTAAACAAAATAAATATGGCATCTATGGAATGCGCCGCCGATTAGATTAGGCCCCAAAGTATTTGGACAGAAAAATAAATTGGCAGAAAGATTTGGCCAGATAGTCGGACAAGGAAAGTGATAGCATTGAACTCTGATTGCGGGCACGTGTTGTGGGTAATCCATCATGTAATTAAGGTCCTGTAACTGACCGATTTTCCCTGTCAACTGCCACGTGCTCGGGTGTGAAATTTTATGCTGTCAATTGTGAATGTGATTGTAATGATGTTGATGATGATGATGATGGCCACCCCATATTTTCTTTTTTTTTTTTTTTTTTTTTGTTTTTTTTTTTTTGGCCTGCCCGGCTGCACTTAATGCAATTTTTTCCATTGTTTTAAGGGGTGGCTTGCAGGGAACTGACTGTTACTTAATACTCTTACATCATCCACCTTGCGCTTTTCGCCGAGCAACCCTAAACCTCATCCCTCGGAACCCCTCGAAATCCCTCGAAACCCCCGATATTCTCCGGCTGCAACTGTCCCGTCTTAATGAAGTTCCAACTGAAAGGGGATGGATACTCATATACAGAACATACTCTATGTGTACACAAGTACTCAACTGACTTTGACAGTTGCCAGTTTTGTGTTGCCATTGTTTTTGCAGCAGGGCGCCGAGCTGGTGGGCATTATGCGAAAATATTTATGTGTATAATGTGCATTTGCGACTGCAACAGGCAGTGGGAGTTGGGATTTGGTTCGGATTCGGATTCAAATTCGGTTTCGGATTGGGAATGTGAAGTATGCATTTCAATGCGACTTGAGATTCAGAACAATATGCAAATGTGATCAAGAGCCGCCAAGTGTTGGAGTGGATAATAGAAATAAGTAAGGCAAAAATTTCATACATTGCAAAAAAATGGAATCCTATGTTAAGAAGATATAATATAAGTTGCAAAATGCAATAAAATAAAGTTTTAAAATTCAGTACAAATACTTCGACTACAAATCTCTTCTGTAAATTTTCTTGGCTAATTTTTAGACAACTTTAATTAAAAGTTAAGACCCAAGATTTCTTCAAGAAAGCCAAAACAACTTTGCATACTTTTGGCACCCAAAGGGCTCTTTCCCATCCATTTCTCTTTTACTTTCCTCTCGGCCCAAGAACCTCTTGAAATTGTAGCTACCAAAGCAACGCCCCAAATATAATAGAGTAGGGAGCACCGCACCACCACAACGCTGGGAATGGGAATGGGAATCCGTGAGAGTTCAGTGTACCCCAGCGATAAGCTAATGTTGTTTTCAGACTGTTCAGTAGATATTATATAGGAGAACGAATCATTTGATGTCAAGGCTGCGGGGGAGATGGCAGCGAAAAATTCTGGAATGCTAAAAAGTTGACGTGCCGCCACACAAATCTGGCCTCATTAGCAGGCTGCCCTTCTCACCTTTGAATGCACTGAGCAAAAATGGTGGCGGGTTAGGGAATAAGAAATATTACAATCTTTTTAAAAACCGTTTATTGAAATAGATCTTATCTCAATAGCTGTTAACCAAAAGATTTTTAAAGATCCCATAGTTAACTGTTCATATTGTGTTTAAAATTGTTTTAGCACATTTTTTGCTCTGTGGACCACCCCCTTTTTGTCCCATTACCACTATAATACCGCTATATACCGAGGGGTTGTATCTAATGCGATTTTCGCCACCGGGACAGCTGCACCGTCGGAGGTGATAAGCGGCTTTCGGCGCTGCTCTCCCAGCCCTTTTGATAAGTCCGGGCTACTTAAGTGGCAGCGAATATATATATGTATTTTGTTAAGCATTCAGCAACTTTCCCAAAGTGTCAACACAGCTCGCAGACAGTGCGAAAGAGACGGCGGGAGGGCTGACGAAAGAGACGGGGCGACTGCGACGAAGTCGATGAGACGATGGCGAGTTCAGAGCAAACACGGCAAGTGCATCCCATTGAATTTGTCTAGGGACTTGTGCGCGGGCTACTCAAATATGACACCTTTTCTGGAAGTAAATAATAATTGCCTTGCACCTGAACTGCGGGGCGAAATGAAAACGCGTGTTTTGCCTTCCATTCCGGCTAAATTGCCGGCTTAAATGGCTAAGCAAATACATTTGATACGGTTTCAAAGGGAATCGGTGGGTATATATCGGAATCGAGCACCTTATCAGGCGATATGGTTCTATAAAAGCCAGTTTTACATTACTGTAAATATCTGATAGCCGTCGATTGTTGCCAATAAATCACCCAGACAATAAACCAAAAAAGATAAATCAATCGCTAAGCTGATTAGGTTTTTTTCGAAGAAACAAACTTTCTAATTCATCAAAATCTCCAATCGATGCGTTTTATCTCCGATGATTTTTGTCGTGGGACCTCCAAAAGTGGGTGTGTGTTTGTGGTTAGTTTTAGGTTTTCGATTTGCTTTTACGAAACACTAAGCCAACAATGACAACACCAATAAAACAGCCAATGCAACGCAGCATTTGTGGGTCAGGTGCAACGACAATCGGTGGGCAGTCGTCGTAATGCCCAATGCAAATATTTGGCATAAATCGAACAATTAATCAGCCCTCTCTGTCGCTCTGGGCAAATATTTCGAATTGCCCTTTCAAAGAAAGTGAACTACTCACTATCGACGTGGAAAACTTCATCGAGTTGTAAAAGCGGCCGCAGAGCGTAGTAAAATTTCATAGAGCCCTTCGAGGGGCCGAGCTTTGGGGGGTGGGGCTTTTCTGATAGGGTTTTTAGTACCACACTATGCGAAAAAGCAAAACAAACAGTAAACACTTGACGGCCGCATGGTTCTCTTTTTTTGGCGTATTGTTATTATTTTGTATACATATAGACACACACAAATATGGAGATATAGACCAGTATGTATGAACGTAGTACGCGTAGTACGCCGTGGCGTATATTTTGAACGTGTTCTTCGCTGATAAGATAGCGGAGAACTCGTTTCTTTTATTTTCCACCGGGGACGGGGCTCAGATCTCAGATCAGGGGATTATTGGGGTTGACTTGGCCCGATCTTGGCCACTTAGTCACTGGCATTGAGCCGGCCATAAAGGCATAAAGTCTCGTATAGACCGAAAATCGATTGCAAATCGAAGATCGCCAAAAAGGCAATCGAGATATAGGGGCTTATCGCCTCGAAAGCTCCACTCCTCTCAGGTTAAACCCGCCGTAAACCAGACAGATTTAACTCGTACAGGTGGTAGAAGTGTGGCCGGAATGCAATAACCGAATTCTTCGCGCTATAAAGTGATGGTAATAAACAAATTCAGAGGCGACTTTTTGCCGACGGCGTTTTTGTTTATTTATAAACCCCTGATCCCAGCCGCCAATGTGACTAATCGTTTGATATACTCTATATGCCATACATCATTGTCGTTATCTCTGTAGCAAAAATAAAAAAAATGCAGGGCACTGAGGGACGTGCCTTTTGGGGTCGTTTCCTAATACCGATTTCCGATTTCTCGCTGTGGCGTCATATGTTTGGGGACCCAATTATTTAAGCCACTTTTTCGCCAACCCACTCTCCGTTTACAGCTTTTTTCCCAGCCGCGCGTAACCTAATTATAAAGCTGGATGTGACATTTTTTTCATTTAGCGGCTTTGGCCGCCAACAAACTTTTGTGGTTCTGTTAATTCCCACAAACTTTTATATATTCTATATGAACGTACCCTGAACCTTTCCGAATGAACCTGGAAACTGACACGTTTAATGATAGTTCAATATTTTTAATAGTAATTAACATAATCTGGTTGGGAAAATTCTAGGAACTACATATATATATTGGATTTTAATTATGAACTTGTTGACTTTACGACAAGTCATGCAAGAAAAGAGTGCAAGGTTGTCTGGCCTCCATTAACGGTAACAAATGAGGCGAGATTCGGTTTCTGGGCCTCTCGATTGCATTAATCAAAGCTGCACGAAAAATATGTGCCAAGTCACAGATGTATTTATGATGTTTTGGCATTTGAGCTCGTGCCTCTGGCCAAAAATCATAAATCTCAATAAAACACTCGAGGGTGTAGATTAATGTGTACATTTCGCGGGGCTCCGTTCGGTGATCTTCTGCCAATGGATCTTCTTTTGGGCCTACAAAATACCACTGCTGCTGTTCGTGCTTATCAATCGGTTTTGAACCAAGCCCGTGGGTTCTGTTTTCGGGGGTGTTATCTCAACTTATTTCCGTTTAATTAATAAAAGAAGCGAACAAATTCGAATTATCAAATCAAATATTGTCTATTTTTACAGGAAAACGCGTTTCTTATCGGCTCTCGTCTGAAAATATTTTCGATGGGGCGTGGCGCTGTTTGCCTTGTTTATGATTCGGGAAAAGGTGTGCGGACTCTGATTGAGATTAGGAGCAATTATTCTGAATTAGTCGGAATTAAAGGTTTTAGCTTGGATTTAGTTTTTCCATGCGCGTTTTGCAAGCGATTTAACCGAGGGTTGGCGCGTTTGCAATTGATTTATAACTCAGGTAAATGTCCTGAGATCAGAACACGCCACAAACCCTCGAAAGTTTTTCGAAAAAGGGGTTGTACACACACAGGAGCAAAGGAGCACGGGAGCGAGTACACACAAGCTGATTTATCCTGACAGTTTGCATGTGTTGGTGCCATAACAAGTTATAAACGGCAATTATGGACCTGAAACTGAACCTGAAGCTGAAACAGAAACACAACCGAAATCGAAACTGAAACTGAAAATGCAACCGAGACCAGACTCAGTCTTTGGCACATTTCGTACATATTTCTTGTTTCGAACATATAATTGTGCTTCTGATGTGTGTTTGAAAATTGTTTTTTAAGTGAAATTGCGTTGCGCCTGATAAACAGCCCTCCATTTATTATATATATTATTTTTATAGTTGCGTGTGTGTGTTTGTGTGGGAATTGTGCGAAAAGTAAAGGGAGCGAAGAACACAGGTCATGGTATTTGCGGATTATTCCTTTGATTGCGTATGGTTTGCCTTCGGTTTTCGGTTTGGGCATGGCGAGTTCCACTCTCTTCCCTTCGCACGTGGTTTAGGGATTTGCCGTTTTTAGTTCAACAGAAAATTAAGGAATTTTTTAGCCACGAAGAACTGATCTTAAAAATGTTGAGTTTTTAAATATAAAATATTTCAAAACTTTAAGATATTTTCATATTTATAATTAGGTATACTAAAAAATCTTATAAATCGATCTTATTTTCAAAAATTTCCAAAAGCTTAAAACCCAAATTAAACCTTATTTCCATGAAGCGATTTCTTTTTTGCTTGCGTATTTTTATTAATTTATCATTACCATAAATGTTTCTTAGGAATTCTCATAAAAATCCTATAAAAGACTGCCACGAATATAGTATGCGATTATCGAAATATTATGGTTTTTAAGAAGTGAAATTTTATCATGAGGATGAATAACACAGAAAACTGAGTCACTACTTTAAATTGAACTTAAAACTTACATCGTATACTTCTGGCCGCATTGTAGCCCCCAAATTTAAGGGTATAAATTATAATCCAACATGGGTTTGTGCGTAGTATCGTCGCGAGTCTATCATTTGACTGACGAAAGAGTTTTTAATTTTCTGCTGAGCTTGGGAGTCCGAGCGGAAATTCAGAAGTCAGAATTTGTAGAAACTCGATTATGCATATGGATGTGTACGGCGTATCTGAATCTGATACTTCGGGCAGAAAAGCAGCATCAACAAATTTACAACTACACCGCAAAAAAATGCAATCAAATCCGGGCGTGTAGATTTTATTTCAGTTTGGTTTTTTTCCGTTTTGTTACTCTTGCAATTTGTATTTCGTCAACCTCACTTTTTGTTATCTGCATGCCATATTTCGCCTTGATTTGCGTATTTTATTACTTTTGATTAACAATATGTAATTGGTTGTAATAAATATATTATTATTGGGTGTATATACTTGTATTGCACTTTTGTCAACAGCGACGCTTCGACGGCACGATATTCAGCTGTATTTTATTCGAATATATCTCTTGGGTATTTTCGCGTTGCACGAAATTTGATTTATTTTGCGGGAACTTCTTGCACTGGCACTGGGGCACTCGAAAATTTTTTTTTTCAACTGTGTTTATTTCCTTTTTTAACTGGTTTCGGGTGTGCGATTTTTAAAACAAAATCAGTATCTGTAGCCGCGCAATGCACTTTTCACTTTAATCAGGCTCATTTGAATTAGTTGGTTTTGTTTGAGACTTGGAATTTTTCAAAAATATTTTCCAAGGCATTTGTTGCTGGCTATTGGCTTTGGGTATCCGTTGGATGCGATGTATAGCCGACGAAAGGTGAAAACAAACTGAATCTGAAACAAATCGTCGAACATCGAGCTATAGCGCTTGTCGTCGTCTCGAACCAAACCGAACCAGCCAGCCAAGCCAACCGCGTTCGTGTCGCGCTCGTTTATTTCACTCGCCTCGAACCGCCGCCGCCTCCCACACCCTCTCGTTTACAGTTTGTCGTTAATAAATTCTTGGAGCCGCAGACATGTCCATGTGGGTGATAGATGGTTCGGTGGAAAGGCTGGCCGGAATCGGAATTCCTCGCCCGCTTTGCACTTCCTTGCAGATCAGATCGCATTGGGTTGCAGTACAATCTCTCAAGTGACTTTCTGATGACTTTTTTAAAGGATCCAAATATGAAGGATCCTAGTGATCCCTAACCTCTCAAGTGCACCATTTCATACCTTAATGATTTTTTACTAATCAATTTAGAACTAGAAGTATAAACTATCTAAAAGTATTACCTACCAGCACAGTAGTTATAGCTCATTTTTACACGGCTGTCTTATTTTAATATCTACGGATTTGAAAGAGAAATTTGTATCTAATTTCAATAAAAATGCTTTAATATTTTTATACCCTTGCAGAGGGTATTATAATTTTGGTCAGAAGTTTGTAACGCAGTGAAGGAGACGTTTCCGACCCCATAAAGTATATATATTCTTTATCAGGATCAATAGGGGAGTCGATATAGCCATGTCCGTCTGTCCGTCTGTCCGTCTGTCCGTCTGTTTCAATACCGTTTGCGAGCTCAGTTTAAAAGCTAGCGCCTTGAAACTTTCACAGTCGTCCTAAAACATGTGTACGCAGATCAAGTTTGAAAGCCGACCCGATCGGACGTCTATATCCTATAGCTCCCATAGGAACAATCGGATATAGCTTTCACAAAATGAAGATATTTCGCTCAGTGTAAGAGCTTTTGACATGTATCTTATTCTTTTACGCATACCTTGATCAGGGTAAAAGCGCGTGCCGATCGTACGACTATATCTTATAGCTCCCATAGGAACAATAGGGTGAAATCGGTCAAAATTTGACGTTTTTCAGGATATTTCGCGCAAAATATTAGCTATTCCCATGAAACTTTCCAAATCGTATTTTTTTGTGCGTACCTTCATTAGGGTAAACGCGCGTGCCGATCGGGCGTCTATATCTTATAGCTCCCATAGGAACAATAGGGTGAAATCGGTCAAAATTTGACGTTTTTCAGGATATTTCGCGCAAAATATTAGCTATTCCCATGAAACTTTCCAAATCGTATTTTTTTGTGCGTACCTTCATTAGGGTAAACGCGCGTGCCGATCGGGCGTCTATATCCTATAGCTCCCATAGGAACAATAGGGTGAAAAATTTTAAAATTTTATTTTTTCAATTATAAAATATTTTGTTGTTTATTAATGCATGTTGCTAGTCTAGTCAAGTTTTAATTCGTAAAATCTGCAAGGGTATTAAAACTTCGGCTTGCCGAAGTTAGCTTCCGTCCTCGTTTATAATATAAAATATTATAATATTCCTTATAATAAACTTCTAACAAGAAAGTGAAATTATGAAAGGTTAAGTGCATGAGAAAATTATAAAATAAGTAATGGTTTACTAAACAATATTTTAGTTCATACTTTGAGGTATGTCCTATCTTACTTTAATAAGAGGAAGATCTTGTACCATAAAATACTTAAATTATTTGTTTAGGCATTTCGGACTTTAAGTAACCAAGATACCTAATATGACATTGCTCTAATTTATGCTAATAATTATGTTATCATTTAAATTGATCTACCTGGGCAGAATTACTATGTAAATTGGGGTTTTCTTGCAGTTAATAAGCCGTTCTGAACACAAGCTTAGCCCACTTAGCTTCAGTGATCATAAATAAAGAGACCGGCTAGTTTGCGTTTGTCATTCCTTGAAAGTTTGCTCCATTTTTTCAGAACTAGGTCTCCCGGCCAGATAATGATCTCTAGGTGGCGTCCACCTGCCCCACTTTATAAAAAAAAAAAAACAGAAGTAGTCACCCACCCAGTTCCGAATTTCGAATACCAAATTCCGAATGCGCCGGGAAAATGCCAGACGATATTGGGCAAGGTCCAGTTGGCGAGCCATTAGCAAAGTTGCCCCTGCATTTTGATATTGATCGATTAGCCAGCCAGTTGTACCAGGCAGTTTTATTGATCATGCTGTAAATCAAATTGTGTGTGTTGCCAACGACCCAAAAACAAAGCACAAATCGTACAGCGATTAAATTAAGCAATGTTTATTTCGGTCACTGAAAGGTGAAATTAAAAAGTAAGCAGAAATATATCAATGGGGTTGGCTATTTTAATGTAACAAGAGGACAATATAAAAACTAATTCTTTCACAAACAAATGTGCAGAAAATGTTTTTGATTCGTAATCGGTTTGAATTTGAATTGCAAACAGAGGTGAATCATTGCGAGGATGCTGTCTAGTTAATAAGCAAATTTATTAATTTTCAGAAATGTTAAGCTATAAATACGTCAGCATCCAATGATCTGACACAGAATAACCCATGAGACCCCCGATTGTATCGAAAGGGAACTTCCCCCGAAAACGAGAACAACAGCCTTTGTGGACTTTGCTCATGTTTCAATTTCCAATTAACTCGTTACCTAGATAACTGCACAAGTTGTGTGATAGGTTCAATTAGAGCACTAGACTCTTGAGAAAATATCTGGCCATGAATGAAGTGAGACTGTTCCGAAAAATTCAGTAGCATTGCTCCCGGTTATCAAAAATGCCTAAGTGATCACGAATATTCGATAGTGTCAGCTATTTTGCTTGCGTTTTTTGAGTTATGCCAAGTGACGCATAATTGGGGGCGAAATTTGAATGCTCTAGAATTCCTATGATATGTGAGAACAATGATGAAATGGCAGAATAATCGAATAGGATCGCTCTATTTGCTTATCACGCATTATTTTCCACTTATGGCGCCCCATAAATCTGATGAAATTGATAAAGGGAATTAGCCATGCTTTTACATCCGATAAAGTCGTTTAAAAGTCAGTTAACGTGGAATTCGTTAGGAATTTTGATTTCCCACCGATACTTAACAGTTCGAACTTGTTGAGGCATGCTCTGTTAGCCAAGCTGCGTTTGTCAAGTAACAGATCTCTGTTATTCAGCAAGCAGTGCGACTCTTGACAAATCAAGCAGTGCCTCTCTAAGCCAGATGTTATTAACATTTTGGTTTGAAATCGAACATGTTGTGCAATATTATTTTAGGGGTTATTTAAAAAAATGTTAGCTCAAAAAAATAAAAAGATTTCAAAAATATTAAATAAAATTGAATTCACTGAGCAATAATTTTAGTCATGGCGGAATTCGTTTTAAAATATCAAGCTCTTTGGAATATTATAGTAGACAGTCAATCAAAATATGTGGCAATACGACCGGAGCCGATCACTTACCCAAAATATCCAAAGTTGAAAGCGCTTTCAATTTAATTTAAATTACGAATAGTAATTTAGTTGATAAGAATTTAACTGATTGGAATTTAAATTGTGTTGGTGTAGTAGATTCCCCCGACAGAAAGGGATGTTTAAAAATTCGAAGGATGACTACATTTATTTTAAGTTTAATTTTATTATGATTGCTTTACTTTGCCACAACACTATCTCAAATACATACTTGAAAAATAATAGAAAACAAAAAATACTTTTTTTGACTCAAGCCCATTTTAAAGGATCTATCTGGTGTTTTAGATTAATATTTTAAAACAAATATTTATTTACTATCATCTGTTTTACTTTAAATAATAAACAGTTAATTTGTCATATCTTTTCTTTGAGTATAAACCGACCTTGCCACTATCCACTCAACAAAAATACGGTTCAAAATTTTAATGAAGATTTATGAGACACTTTGCCGATTTGTGAAACAATGAAAATAACACAAAAAGAAAATTAGCAAGTGATAACGACAGTGATAAATTTATTAAATCAATGAGTTTGATGCGAAATTCCAGGCGTCAGTCTCAAGTGGTTAGGGAACTCAAAAACTGATAAGCAGTAAAGCGTGCGAACAAATTCTTGAAATGATTAAATATTTAAAACGTCTTTATTTTGCAGGTCACCTTTTTGGCTGGTCAAGGTCCGTAAGTCATCCCACCCAGATTGTGTTTATAGTATAAGAACAAATCCAACCGCACAGAGAATTCCACGTAGCCATAACTGCATAATCATAGATAGGATTCTTATTGTGCCAATGCGGTCCTTACTTTATTTTTTTGGCCAACACAGCGGGTCACAAAAGGCAGTGGCGCCATGTCGCGTCACAGTGAAAAAATGGCAAAGCGAGAAAAATGTGTGAAGTCTTCACGACTGCGGAAAACAAAGGAAACGAATTCAAATATTTATGAGGATGTCAGGTGTCCTGACAAGTCAATTTTAGGTTGTTTTTTCCACTCCTCCTTCCAGGCAAAATGCAGCTAGCTCTGATTTATGAGTCTGTGGGTGTCCTTTCGAGACGAACTTGTCATATCTGATGCAAATGTGTCACACTCACGACCAAGAGATAATTCCCCTTTTTTTCGTTGTTTGCCCAGGCTGGGGTTTTGCCCCTCCAAGCTCAGAGAAAATAAAAACCCTGAGAAATATTTTAATTAAAATTCACTGCCCCAAAAAAGAGAAGAAACGAAACTACCAAAACCACAGGCAGACAGGATAAACTTAAGCCCAAAGCCGAACCACCGCCGCCTGATCTCAACTGATAAACGCGAAAAAAACCAACAACAAGAGCGGCCCAAAGGTAAAATAAAGCCAACGGTGGGCGTTGGTAAAAAACGATCTGCAAAAAAAATAAGTAAAGCACAAAAAGAGGCAAATGCAGAAATGTGTATGTATGGTACAGGTATGACAAGATTTTATGCTCTTTGGTAAAGAATTTGTAGTATAAATTGGAAAGGAAATAAATTAATATCGTTGTCCTTAAATTTTTATTCTATAAATTTATTAAATAATTTTTAAATTTACTTTAAATGGT